GACTACTGAATAAATAAAATGTAAAATAATGGGTGCACACATTAGCTTGGTGGGTTCCAAAATAAATAAAAATAAAAATTATTAGTGGGAGTGAGATCTTTGAAAACATATTAATTATTCTCAAATTGTCTTGTCTTAAAGGGCCCTTCCAAGTGTTTAATGATTTATATATTCATAATTGTATTCTCTTGGAAGTATGTATTGATTGAAGGGGTGTGTCATTTCTTTGCCTCCTTATTTTAATTAATTAATTATTTTCTAATATTCTTTCATTTCTTCTCCTTCTAGATGCATTAATATTACAATATCTATATGGACAATTATAAAATAATTTTTATTTTTTATTTTGTTTGATTATCATGGGCAATATCTTTTACCAGCTTTTACACAAGACAAACATATCTTGTTCATCATTGTATCAACTATCAAACACTTATTGACAAATTTAATTGAAAAAAAGTGAGATGTGGTATGTTGGCTATGGCCTTCTACATATTATATACAAATATTTTGCTTAATTAATGCTCCAATCTTTCATTAATTTTGCTTAATCACCATTGATCTAAAATCGACATGAAACCCATATAAACTTTAGAATACATCGAATAATAATTAAAGGTTTAAAAGCTCTTCGAAGGTAAATTAAGCTTCTATCTTACCATGTTGAAAAAGACATTAAAAAATCGTGTTTTTCTTGTAGTGTCGAGAAGATAACATTAATTACAGAATATATATACGTATCTTGTAAAGGAAGAAAGAGAAATTTCATTGAAGTTTCATATATTCCATTTCTTTGATCCATTTCATTTAGTACCCACAAAAGATTTTGTGTGCTTAGTCACATACAAGAACAAAAAACACAAAGGGATAAGCTAAGCTAATGCATAAATAATATATTAAACTTTAAAAAAAAAAAAAAAAAAAATCTTCTTTAATGTATGAAAGCCAAAAAAGAAAGAGACAGACATAAAATTCCAGAAAATTCTTCGCAAAAGTTTGTTGTTTTAAGCAAGAAGAAGTTCCCTTTGTGTTGTTTCTTAAATTTGTTCTTTATTATAGAACACACATATAAATTTTTATTTTCTTGGTCTTTCTCACTTTCATGATTCCTTCTTCTTTGATCCAATGAGAAAAACTATAAACAAATGAAGTTAAAGTACAATTATCTAATAGACAAGGAGCGTGGGTTGTTCTTCTTCTTCTTTTTTCCTTTTTCTGATCATCATCCTTTTGTATTATTATTATTATTATTTTCTATCTCTTTTTCTTCTCTTTATCTTTTCATAGAAGATGAACTTTTTGGTCTCCATGTGCTCAGCTGAGCTTCAAACATGGCAATGGATCATTTCTCACGAAAGACAAAACACCTAAAAAAGTAAGTAAAAATGTTAAAAGAAAAATGGTGCATGGAGTTGGCATGAAATAATCGAGGGCAAACTTTATTCACCCCGAGGTTTCGGTTAACTTTGGTTCAGGTCCTGTATTTTAAAATATTAGGATTTAACCCTCTTGAATTTAACAAACGTCTATAGAATAACAGAGCCCAAGTATTGATTGAATAATAAAAAATTGCCACCATTGGCGTCCAATGACTATATCTTGTTTTATAAGCCAAAATTTAGTCATCAAAATCATCTTAACGTTTAATGTGTACGTGTGAAATATCGCTTTTGCTCATTGATTATCTATTTCTTCTTGATGTTTGTTGCAAACAGAACAGGGGAATATATCCCAGTATTTTAAGATATAGGAGTTGGACATTGTCGACCAAAACCCTAAGGGGGTAAATACAATTAACTCCGTATTTGGAACTAGGGTTTGTATTTGCATGTGCCATGAAAGGAAAGCAAGAAACATAGAATCTTGATGCTTTTAATTGTTTCTAGCAAATTAAGTAAAAGGAAAAACAAGAAGAAAGTGACCAAAAAGAAGTAATAAGTGGTAACATGTCACACACACTAAAAAGAAAAAAAGATAAGAAAGAAAATAAAGAAAGAAAAAGAAAAGAAAAGAAAGAAAGGTGTCTTATATTTACAACAAAAAAGTTCGCATGAATCGACATAATCTTTACTTGGAAGGATCTAAAGTAGAAGAAGAGGGCCAGAAAACAGGGATCTGTTTCACATACGAGAAATTTTAGGTGTGAACGTCTTAATTTATTAAAATCTGAATCTAACATTTGTATAAAAATAGTTTTGCACACTCAAAACAAGTTATTGTTATATATTAATTTAAAACATAATTAATCTTGGTGAGGAAGGACCTAAAGAAATTTTCAAGTGCGATCGTCCTGACTGTTTTGTTATAAAACAATCGTTTTTTCGTATAAATTTTTTTCTCCTTTAGTACAAAATTGTTAATAGGAATACAATCAAGACGTCCACAAAGGAGTATAAAATTAGATGGGAGATATATTATTATTATTGTTATGATTATTAATGAAGAAAAGGTAGGGGCAACAAACCCTAATCATAAATGGGAGAAGGAAGAGGGGCCCTAAATTTGGGCATCTTTTGATCCACAATTTGTCAATAAGAAAATTGATGGGAAAAAAGGTAAAGGAGTAGTGATGGCACCAGAAACAAACCATGTGAGTGGGGAGAGTTATCTTTAAATCCAAAAAGAGAAGTTTGCCCATTGCCATTGCCATTGCCATTGCCTTGTGCAATTCCAAAAAGTCAAAGCATCAAATCCGAAAGATCAAAAGTCCCTTCCTTTATTAAAACAACTCACCAACGTGCAATCATCCCCCCCTCCCCTTTTTTATTTATTTATTTAAATTCATTATTTAGCCTTTCATTTCACGTAATTAAACAGTTCAAATCTCCCCACAAATCTCAAACACCCTGTTGAAATTATTCTTATGTGTTCATTCATTGTCTTTTTCGTTTGTTCATTTATCTTTTTTTGATAATTGAGGTGTCGGAATCCATTAAACACCCTTAAACCTAATGGGCCAAGTAAATCACAAATGTAATGAATGATCACTTTGTGAGATTCGAATACAAATACACAAGACTTCTGGATAACCTACTAAGATAATTAAAGTCTTGTCATTCGATCACAAGGCTAATAGTGGTTTTGTTCACTTATCTTTTTTCCGATAAGAAACGTATGTTCACTATTTTCATTTTCAAATATTCTTACTATTTTTTTTTTTTAATCTCTCGAAACATTTATAAAGTTTTAAGATTTAATTTCACGTGTTTTCATTTGTATTCATGTGTAGTTAGGGGTGTTAACGAGCCGATCTTTTGGCTTAACGAACTCGGCTCGTGAAAGGGGATTAAAAATCAAGCCGAGTTGAGCCGCAGATTTTATGGCTCGGCTCGGGTCGGAAGGGATTTAGGCATTTTTCAGCCGGCTCGCGAGCTAACCTCCAAAAAAATCAGTTTTTTTTTTTTTTTTTTAAATTCAATTTTTTTTTAATAAATTTCCTGGGCAGCACGCAGGCGGCAGGTCTGAATGTCGTAGACTTCAGAGAAGAGAAAGGAGGCATTCGTCAGCGTAGGAAGGCCCACCGAGTGAAGCTCTTTCTTTTTCTTTTTTTTTTCCTTGTAGATCTATTTCACGGCGAACAGAGAAATCGCGACGAACTTCCAAATGCGACAAAAATCCTATGAACAACACGGTGGAAGAATCTAATGACGAAAACCGACGAAATTCTGACTGGGAGTTGTCCTGATGACGGCGATGAAAATCATGATTGGGGTTAACTTTTACAGCACAATTTCATCTGTCGACAAAAATCGACGATTTGGGGATTTTAATAATGGGGGCCATTTTGTTATTTTTTAAAACTTTGTTGCATGTTTTTCAAGTCAATCCCATTACTTCAGAAAACCTAAAAAAAGCTCCCGGTTTTTCAAGCCAGGCTCGACTTGCTAGCCTTAGGAGCCGAGCCCCCCATGGCTCAAACTGGGTTCGTTCTGTCTCACGAGTCGAGCCGAGTCGGCTCGTTATCAAATGAACCAAGCCGACCTTGAGCTGAGCCGAGCTGGCTTGTGAGCGGCTCGGTTCGTTAAACACCCCTATGTGTAGTGAAGATTTTTTTTTTTTTTTTTCCTCTTAATTATAACAATAAATTTCATATACCCTTTTGAGTTATTTGATCAATAAACTCATACGGGAATTAAGATCTTGATCCAAGTTTTATTAAACTTTTAAAGTCTAGCGTCATATGTATCTATTTTTATACATGTAATACGATTTTTTTAAATTTTTTTTTTTTTAATAACAGCTTGAACACCCTTTTGAATTAATCGATGAAAAAACTCATGCACAAATTATATGATCCTTTTTTAATCCAAAACCTTTCTGAATTTTTAAAGATCTAGGGTTCGTGCACTCTTTTTTTTCTGTGTAGTTAATTTTCTTTTTTGCATATATATATATATATATATATATTCTTTCTTTAGCCATGATCGTCATGCTTAATCACCTTTAGATCCTCTTGCATATTATTTCAATCAAATGAGTTAATCCAATGGTATTCAAGTATAATCCTGATAAATGATTAAGGGGTGCACATAGCTCTATCCTAAGCATTATGTATGTGATTTTGATTTTTTTTTTTTTAAAGGTCTTTATAATTATTTTGATTAAGAAAATAAAATGGAGGGCTTGATAGATTAAATTTTGACAGGTAAGATACCAAAATGATATACTTCTATAAGAAAGGAGAATCAGAACAATGAAACACACTGGGTGGGCCAATGGCGATTATGACTTTTGAGTGTATTATTCAAAAAAATTTGAGGTTTGATCCCTGGGTTGCTAATAGGGGGTGGCCGCTGATAAGATTTATCCGGGTGTCAACTTCAGAGCCCTAAGAGATTAGTTGTGATGTCCGTAAGCTGGGTCGGACACTCCGATCACAAAAAAAAAAAAAAAAAAAAAAAAAAAATTTAAAGAATGGGTATACCCCATCAAGAAATTCATTAAAATTATTATTTTTTTGGAATACAATAACATAACAATTGAGAGTCAAGACCACCTAAATTAATCAAATAAATAAAAAAAAATAAATCACATATTAAATGTCACACATACATTGTTATTTTATTTTAATTATTCCGGAAATATTGAATTTATCTAAACAATCCAGAGGAAGTGGTTCGATTAATGGAGGATAATACTGAAAGAAGAGCCATGCAGACGAAAGCTCCCAATAGAAGACCAGCAGCTATATAAATCCTGTTGAGAAATTTATCAGTTCCGGATTTAATCCCAACTGTGTCTTCAAATCCAAGTGATAATAGGGTTTCCACAAAATCATTCACAAATGATTTTAATTCATATGTTACTGCAAATACAGCTCCAACTCCTGATGCTAAAACGAAACTGACCATCTGAAAAAAAAAAAGAAAAAGATATTACGGGGGAAAACAAATTAAACGGTTTTAAAATGGTTAAAAATAACACTTCAGACTCGTCACATGTCGCTTATGCTCTATGAATCCGGATAGGGCAAAAAGACGTGTGGTGAGTCCAAGGTGTTTCGAACATATTCATGATTAAATTTTGTATGATACAAGGATTAAATAACGATTGGTCGTAAAATGAATGTAATGTAAAAATTGACCTTGTCACCATAGAAATCAAATTCTGGCAAAAATTGACCACGAATCAGCCTCTTTTGTTTGAAAGCATAATATATTGCACAAGGTAATTGCAACAGTGAATAGGCTCCTCCAATTGCAGCAGTGGCAAGGACGTATCTGTAAATTTTTATTTGTTTGGGTACCAATAAGTAACAACATTAATATATAAAAATGAATATTAGCTATATCGGAAGACCGATTAATTTTTCTTGCCTTGAGAGAAAGCTAAATTTGAAGCGGCTCAACGGTTTTCGGAAAATATTGAAAACTATAAGATAAAACTATTCTTAATGTAACCCTAATGTGGACATGAATCGACTTAAATTTAGACAGGGATTTGTAATTCTCATATGCAAACGTATAGATCCATTTTGTTAAACTATATATATTACAGAATTTTGTTAAAACGAGTATACAAACAATGAAATAACTCATTTAACGAACGCTCTCGATACAAGAAGTTTACCTGTAAGTCATTACATCCTTGAAGGTAGTCTTGGAGCCATCAATAAACTTGATAGTATCAGTAACAAGTACCACAATACAACCAACGGAAAGTAAAAGAGCAAAAATCCTGAAAACGAGGGTTAAATTTACAATAGCTTTTGATGCCATGATTCACATTCAAAAGTCTTCCTAATTCTGAATTTGTATAAACCTTTGGTAAATGTCAAGTATTTTTATAGACACAAAAGGCTCAATTTTCTTGATAATTTCACCTAATTTTGGCTGTTTTTAGAGCATTAATCAAAGATCCATTGGCCGGACAAATTCTTAAGATTAATTTGAGACCTCAACAGTTCGTTAATTTTAATGTTTATGTAAATGCCAGCAAGGTTTTATCATAATCAACGAATCCCATAATACGCGAAGAGTAAGCGTATCATATCGACCAAAAAAAAAAAAAAAAAAAAAAACACGTGTTATTCTCTTTAGAATTCTTAAATCGTATGGGAGGAAACGTTATCTCCAATAACATAACGATATCTTAATATATGATTCGAAACTAATGAATCTAATGTTATTTACACATAATTTTTATTTTATTATCTTGGTTATTTTTTATCAATTTTTTTTTTTTTTAAATTGAAATAAATTACTTGTAAATATATTTTGGGATGTTCCAATTTTGCATATATCATAACAAGTATATAATTTGTTTGGGAAATAAGAAAATAAAGGTTAGCCTTAGCCACTCCAATTTCAAAATCAATTTACAGAGGCAGATAAATTGGTGTACTAGGTCAAGTACTATATTCATGAAGGTACAATTTTGTTACACTGCAAAAATGATGGCAAATTTAAAGTACCAACTCCAATGTCATTGCAGCCCAGCCACCAGCTGAAGAGTGCTCATTCTACTTGAGGATGTTCAACATGCAACCTTCTCAGAGATGTCGTTGAGATTCCTTAATCATTGTCGATTGGCAACCGATATGTGCGCGTAATACGGATCTGGAGAAACAATCGGAGGTTTTAGTTACAGTAACATAAACTTACAATCAGATAGCAAAACATATTTCCCAGAAACCGAATACAGCCACTTCTATTGATACATGTAGATTCAATTCTGATCTGATGGCCCAGAATTATGTTAGTGCAGACATGAAAACGCCCCAAATTTAAGTATGCTTGGACTGTTAGCAAGATATAAAGTATCAAACCACAAGTAACCATTTACAACTATATCCAGATGATTCCTTATCCTGTTTTATTTCGTTAGAAGTTAAATTATAATGGGTCGATCTGGGATGGCGATAGATCCTATGACGAAAATTATAACTGCATTATAATAGTTTACCTGAGCAAATGCATAAATAGCTCGCAACACTCTAGCATAATCAGTTCCAAGCATCTGAATGACGACATCTGCCAGTAATGTTCCCCACATTCTGCATAGAAACCAATGAATGTTGAATTAATATTTAATGATCATATTTGAAGAAATGACTTCTGAAGAAAGCCACATCGGAACAATTTTACAAGCAGGGAAGGCAAAATAAATTTTTCCATAATTATGTTGACTGAGAACAGTTGCCAAAGAATGGCAAAGACCAAGCACTAGTTGAATCTGGACAATTAAGAGAAAGAGAGTTCCAATAAAAAGTATATGGTTCCACACTGCAAATTTTTTCTATTTTGTTTTTTTGAGAGTATCCAAATGAAGTTCTACATAATCAACAAGAATTTATGTTTCCACGGATAAAAGTGAAATAACAAAATAATATGCAGACAAAAATGAAGTTTTGGATCAAATAAAGCATACTAAGCCGTGCAAAAAGAGTCCATACATTGGGCCAAGAAATGCCATCATACTCCTAAAACCCAAATATTTTGTTGCAGCACCAGCAAAGCCCTGTCAGTTTTAGAAAGAAAAGTGAAAAATGCTGACAGAAAAAAAAAAGTAATAGTAAAATAAACAAATTCTATTGTCTAATAGTTTTGACATGCATAATCAGTATATAATATAGTGGTTGTAATATAATTGATCAACTTAGTATTATTGTTTTTAAGTTGCTATAATTCACAAATCTAAATACTACATTAACCAAAAAGGGTTTTTTCTACTGTAAGTATCCCACCTAAGTAAAATTTCAATATATGAATGTATCCTAGCAGCACTTAATACTAGTCATGAAATCGTAGCACCAAAGTGTAAAGTGGAGAAAGAATTAAAGCTAACATGAAACAGGATATTTAACATATCGGTTCCTAAAAATCCTAGGATGGATAGATAGATAGATAAACACAGAGAGAAAGAGCTATTTGACATATAGTCTGACCGTAATATTAAACATTCAATTTATCCGCAAGGGGATAACCTAGTTGTTTACATATGTACCAATAGAAGCAAGTTGTTTAGGGATCGAATCTCCCTCAAACCAACATTGTAAAGGGGTCCATTTAATTTGAGCTTGTACATCAGAAGATTGGGTTGGGGTGCATAGTAAGAAAAAATAAAAAAGTATTACACATCATTCCAAACTACAGTCATATAATCACTCAGAATAGTGTCCAAAACATGGAAAAGCATTTTAAACAGATTGAGATTATAGGTAAAATGACCTGCTTTGCTGCAAGCAAAGCTGCTCTGGACTCCAAATTAATAGCAGCTAATTGCCCACCCTGAAAGTGAAGAAAGCACAAGAGTCACTTCAAGGTAGCCCGTCACCATGCTTCATTGTACAACTATCGGTCAGCCAAAATATTGGAAAAATGTAGAAAGGATATTTAAGATTGTAGCTAGACAGCCAATAAATTCAATCAAGTAAACCATAAGAAATATAAAACACACCGGTAATTCACACCATAAACAAGCAGCATACGTACATTTAATCCAGTCAGAGATGAAGCATACACAAAAATAAACCATTACATCAAATGAGGGCCTTCACGGAAAAAGCAATTTCATTGCCAAAACATTAAAAAGGATTGCATAAACAGAGATGATTTATGTTTCAGAATTTGATGGGATACGGATGACTTTATAATACCAAACATGCACCTTTTTAAGAACTTCCTTCTTTATCTGATAGTTGGCAGCCTCTAAGAACACCTTCCCAGATAATCTCCTCGCTAGCTAACACAAGAGCAGGAAAGCTTAGACATACAGCCAAAAGACCAAGTAAACAACAGGATATATGAATAGAGTTTCTAACAAAAACAAAACTCCTACCAATTCATAAACTTTCGCCAAAGTATACATACCACCACCCTAGACAAAGTAAAGAAAAGAACAGGAGAGAATCTAGATCAGCTTAAGATGAATAAAAACAAAAGAGTATCCAAAATGTAAGCTGATATAGAGAGAGGAAAAGTACCTTCAAGATCATTGACTTGAGCTCTGCTGCCCCAACCTTCATAAAAGCAAGGCCTTGCACCTTCCACTGACTGAGTCCAAGCTCTAAAGTATTCTGAATATCAATGGCCTTAGAATTTTCCCATAAGCCCGGAAAAACTCCAGATTCTTCACTAAATGGAGAAAATGACAAGTACTATGTGATCAAAGTACAGTCACAACTGTGTGAAGAAAAAGAAATGTAGTCTAAAGGGAAACTGATCCTTTATTACATTTAGAGAGCATATGGATTTTAAAGAATTTGCTTATTAATTAGTAAAGTACCTAGCATATTCTTGCAAAAGATGAAGAAAAATTTCAACTTCTAGATCTTCAGTCGACAATTTGCTTGAGCAAGGAATGTTCAACTTTTTCCTCACAGCAAGCAAGACATTTCTATATGAAGGCCTCCAACCCCTGTTAACAAGGCAAAGTGAAACCAATCAGATATCAATCATAATGAAATTCCATGGATGCCAACAAAAGCCAAAGCTTAATTTAGTTAATTTGCATGTGAATTAAATTGTGACAATATATTACACAACTACAGCTCAGAAAATACTCGAATGGAAGCCAAATCATAACAAACTCAAACCAAATTTCCAGATCCCAATTCAATGAAATTAAACATTGACTTGCCAATAATTCAACAACCTTAAGGTTGACCGTGCATCAGCAGCAAGAAATAAAAATCGTGACTCAAGAGCTGCAATGAAACCCTCTCTCTCTTCAAGGTCTTCTTCAATCATGACATGGTCCACATCAGCACCATTCGTCAATGATTTTAGCAGAGGACTGAAGTAGCTGAAAATTGAAATATTCCAAAACCATTCAAAAGATTAAACATCATAAACTTCAAGTACTCAATAGTCAATACAGTAAATTTCCATAGTTTACTTAAAAACACTTCATAGAACATGACTTAGATGAAAAATTGAAAACAAATCACCTGGGGCCAAAAAGAATTCTTTCAAGCTCATATAACTCTGAATCAGTGGCCAGTTCAAGCACCAAGCGAAGCTCAGGATCATATGAACCTAATAAAAAATTGAAGTCCAAATTGTTAGGTGTGCTACAATACTATCCGGTAACATCACTGGGTCAACGTGATTATAACAGCTACATTTTCTTAACGTGTAACGATGTAGTTATCATAAACTATTATCAGACATTGTAATGTTACTAGGGTAATATTACCCGACCTAGACCATTTGATTTTGGTCCAGTCACCACTTGGACAATCATATTCCAGGCGGAGGGTAACATTAAACCCCCATTACTGTACACTTACCTGACCTGTGTTTACCACTTTATACAGTATGATGACTAAAACGTTATTAAAATATTGAAATCGTGGTCTGGTACTCTGGTTAACACTAGGATAATCATGGTCTAAGTGGGAGTAACGTCATACTCAATTCTGTAAACTTAAACCCAATTTTCGAAACCACTCTATATAATATAGTTACTAAAACATTGTTAAAATACCATACAAAGGAAACAAAAACATGCACAATTATTTCACCATAAAAAAAAAAAAAAAAAAAAAAGAAAAAAAGAAAAAAGGAAAGATAAGAAGAGTAGACCTTGCCCTTTTCTTGAAATAGCAGCATGAGAACAAGCCACTGGAACTAATCCATTTCCACGTCGAGCTGAGCTAAACCCCTGCCACAAAGTAAACGCAAAAACAGAAACTAATTACTTAAATTTAAATAAGAAAGCAAAAAACCAGATGAATGTGAGAAGTTACCGAGGAGAAGAGTTTGGTTTTGGTGGTGACGGAGACTGAAGAGGGGAAGGAAAAGTGAAGGGCGAGGATAGCAGCAGCCATTTTCACTCACCGCCAGCTTCAAATCAAATCATTCATAATTGAATCTGTGAAAATTTTTTTAAGAAAAAATAATTTTGGGGTGAATTTTCTTAGTTCTGAGGGTGTTTTTAAGTCCAGATATTTGGGGTTGCTGATTGCCGACCATTTCTCGACTCACAGAATTTATTCGAACTGATACATTATATCAAATTGGTACCTAATAGTCTTATAAAATATTAAAACACCCCCATAAGGGTTCTTTTATAATTTTACTATAGTCTTCGTAAGACCCTGCTAAACAAAACTTTGTTTGTTTGATCCATAATAATTCACTCTTTTTCATTTATCCCCTTATCCAATTTGCTTGTTTTTTTATGCAAGGAATGAATATGGTGAAACCCAAATAAACCCCAAACTCCACCAAGGGTCTTTAAATTTGGGGACCCTTCAAATGCTTTTGGGAATTTATTTTTTATTTTTTTATCTTTAAAAAGTATTTTTCTGGCCATTATTGAAACCAAGAACTAAAAATGAGTAATAAACTTAGAGTGAAATCATCTTTCTTGGGTAATTACTCAAGAAGTTTTGAATTCGATTTCCCTCAATTGCTAATAGGGGTAACCACTAGAGGATTTACTTGATCGTTAACTTTAGGGTCCTAGAGAATTAGTTGAGATACGAGCAAGCTAACGGGGCTAGCTTGCTTTCCATTGGCGAAGAGTCGCCATGGGGGGTGGGGTGTTCACAAAATCCATGAGTTCCATTTTCCTTCTTGTTCATCAATAGGAAATCAAGACAAACTGGGCACTATAGTGAGACATGAAAACACCATTATTTTAAAAACCGGACCGGAGGGCAACCCGCTTTGTTGGTCGGGTCACGGTTCAACCGGTCCAACCGGTTGGACCGTCAGTTGGATCGATGATGTCAGCACATTTAAAAAAAAAAACCTTTTTAAAAGCTGGCCTCCCAACCATTACAACTGATTTCACAGTTACATTGCACCCAGAATATGTTTTACATTAAAACTTCTTTACTTTAGCATTCAGTAATTTCAGCAAACAACTTCAGCAGACAAGTTCATCAAATCACAGGCAAGCAATCTCAGTAAACACAGCTCACTTAACTTCAATAATTTCAGCAAACACAACCCACTTGACTTCAGCAACTTCATCAATCTTCTCCGCAAACAACTTCAGCAGACAATTCACTTTATCAACTAACTTCAGCAACTTCAGTAACCACTACTCAATTCACTTCAGTAACTAGGGTTCACATGCTACTACAAGAGTTGTTCTTTACCCTCCAGTCTCCACCTTTCCTCTTTGTTGCATTTGCATAATCTAAATACCAATGACGCTTAAGTTATAAAAATTGTAAAACCAATTACATACACATAAGTTGATGAAACAACATTCTCTAAATTATTGATTAGTTACTACATACGAACCCAAATCCTTAACCATACAGGAACGATTCAATGTAATGGTTTCCCCTGCATCATCCATATTGAAATAAATTAATTCGACAATGTCGGCATGATGACCATAAATCATGTATTATTCAAAAATAGCTCCAACAAAATGATTTTGAAGGCATATACATCAGCTTTCTCTATTATGAGTCCAAAATGGGTATATTCTGGAACTAAATACGTAAATAAAAAGGTGTCATATATATTCAATAGTAAATCATCAAGTAAATGATTGCTGAAAATTCTCAACCAAAAATGTTTTACTTAAGGAATATTTCTTCATTTAGGTTCAAAAACCAAAGAATTGTATCATATCTCAAATTAAATAGGCCCTAGAGCTATATCAGCAAGACTGAGGGAATTTTCATATCCAAATGCGCCTCTTCTATCAACTGTCCATCTGCCAGCAACCTTGCCAAACCGAAATTTCCCACTTGTTTCTGAGAGTGATGATACATAATAATCAATGTTGGTATACGTATTCAGTGTATTTCTTGAAAATTTTCAATTAATCAAAATTAAAGAGAAAATATGAATTGCAGAAACTATGGAACTGACCTTTGGTCTGAAGTCATGGTGAGGAGGATGTTATTAGGTCTAAAATCTCTATGAACAATGAAACATTTCAGATTTCTTAGCAAAGGTCCCGAAGATTACAACTCACCTTGAATTAAATTGGATTGTCAAGACATGCATGCCAATCAGCCTTCATGCGTTGATTTCCGGCAAGAGAGGATCGCGTCGTCGCGATTTCAAAGACTGGAGTTGCGATTGATTTCAGCAACGAATGGTTGCGATTTCAGAAACAAATGGTTGCGATTTCAGCAAGATTCAGTTTTGATTTGTGTGGGATTTCAGATTTTCGCAATTTCATTCAAATTTTTTCGGAGTATTTTGCGCGTAGAGGAACTGAGGAAGAAGAAACTGCGCGATGGGGAGTTAGGGATTTTTTTGCCCTTTTCAGTGTTGGGTTGGTTTTGCTTGCGGTCCGATTGGACCGACGGTCCATCACTGTTCATCCGGTCCATTAACGGGTCAAAACGGGCTATTGCATTATACCGGTTTTTATGTTGACTCGAGCCGGACACATGACCGGTTCATGGTCCAACCGGTTGGACCGGCCGGTCCGATTCGGCTTTTAAAACAGTGGAAAACACCTGATCTCATTTCGACCTTGATCTGCGGAATTGTCTTGCACCATATGTACTGAGATTGTTCGGGAGACATGGTCCAAGCCCAGTTAGAAGTAGAAGTAATTTGTTAAATATGATTCAGTCATGGTAGAGAAGAAAAACAATGCACACTACTACACTTAAAATAAACCCTTGATTATGTACCCAATTCATAATTTTGTGGGGTAACTTTTGCAGCTTAACATCATCTATAAAATTAAAACAAAAATTAACATCCATGATGGAATCAAATTAGGAAATGGGGGGGAAAGAAACTTGTATTGTAGAGTCTAAATAAAAGTAATGGTACAAACTTTCTACTCATATAGCCATCCAAAGTTGTAATCTAACATCTCCAGAAGCAAGAATCAAAATGAGCCCTGCTCCTACTTTTGAATTGATACAAAACGCGCGAAAAATTACTGTAGAGAACAACCCTACTCCGCGCATGTGAAACAAGAAGAAGCATAATAAACATAGAAAGATGACTTTTGATGATTGAGACCAACTATCTACTCACACTTGATGGACCTATATATGTGGCGGACAAAAAGCAAGGCGGCGCGGAAGCCTACAGTTCCAAGCATGAGGAAGAAACCATAGCAGATACAAGCCATGTAGCCGAAGAAAAATGATGTTTGCATGAAGCCAGACATATCTGAGCGAGCAAAGTAGTAATACAGGCAATAGGCGTAGATAAAGAGGCCAGTTGATCCACCGCATAGGAAAGATCTGTAAAAAAATCATACATAAAGATCAGTTTGAATAAACTTTCATAGCTCCAAGCATACAAGGACAGAATTCAACTAACAAAATCTCCTAATTCAAGGTAAATCAAATATGCTTCACCAAACCAACACAACCAGAGCTTCTGTTCTTAAAAGGCATTAAAGTGCTAAAAAAATTAATAAAACCACTTCTTCCAGATTTCAAATTCTCCAAGAGACTTCCTTATTGCTTACAAATTTGAGAAGCAAATAAAAATCACACAGATAATTCCAAGTTGTTATACCACTTCAATTATAATCCATAAGCACAATATGAAATCATGTAAATATATTTGAAGAAAGAAAAAAATCACTGATATTACTAAATTTGAGCAATAAATTAAAGTAGTTCTTTGATGGTTAAGGGTAGGATATTAAGAAAGTGTAGTATCTAATTTTATGCAAAGAATGAGAATTCACACAAATTAATAAATGGTAACCACACGGAAATTCAATTCACATGCCTATACTTGGCAAATAACCAAATCAAATGCCTAACCATAGTCACATACCTCCACCACCACTCATGGTCCTCAGCAGCCAGTTGGAAATAGGTCAACGCAACCGTAATGAAAGCAGTGACTATCAATAGAATAATAAAGACGATAAACAAGATGCTGTATATAGTGTAAATCCTGTGACCCCATACACTGGCAAATATATAGTAAAGTTCGATGTAAATAGCACTGAATGGAAGAAACCCAGCCATTGCCATCTGTGGAATTGCCCCTCGGTACCATGGCAATGGTGGAATCTCTCTGGGATATTTGGTAGTGCGGCAAGGAGCTTGGAATTCAGCCTTGCTATTTTTCCCTGCTATTCCACCCAACACCAACAAAGGTGAAGTAACGAGAGTCCAAATAAGAACTATCACCACTATTGTGCCAAATGGAAGAGCAGCTGTAGCAGTGTAAGCAATTGCAACAGTATTTAAAAAGCAGAACATAAGGAACAATGGTCCACAGAAGAGACATCCAGTCAACAACAGATTTCTAACCTGCCAAGTCAGAAAAATCAAACGTATAAGAAATGAAAAACAGTAACTTAGGATCAGATCAAAACCTAAATGCCAGCAAAGAACATCAATAAGCACATACCCAGTTTGTTCCTTCCAATTGACAATAGAAGGAGGCAGCTGTATAGCCGGCAATTCCTGACGTGAGGGCATATATGACAACCAATGCAGTAAAGAGAGCCCCTCTGTTGTAAGGATAAAATACTCCAACTAGTGCAAGCAGGAAGATGAACACAGTACTGCCAATGCATTTATGAAAACAACTCAAAAACACATTTAATGAAATAAAAAGAAATAAATTACTTCCTAGAGAATCAAGTTTTAGTGCTTTGGATAACTAAATGAGCAAGTTACTTACAGAGTGAATAGTTGGCTACCAGAACCAAGTGAAGCCGCAAATAGAGACTTGTATTTGGGGTATCTGAATACATCTCCATGAATGTATTTCCATCCAGTCTCCTCCTGGTCTTCCGCTGCTTCTTCATCATGGGCATACCTTTCAAAGAGTAATATAAAAAAAGTTTAACAATAAACAAATCAAAGCAAAATCAAAAACCCTACCAAAGTAGACATGTACATCCAAACTTTGAGATAACACAAAGGTAATTCTTACTTGACAAAGTCATTCTTGAGGACTCGCATGAGAATTGTGGCAAGAAACCCAGTTAGCAGGAGAACTGTCACACATGAATTTATAATAGAAAACCAATGGATCTCCAAATGATGAGGCAACGACGATGACTGAGAGTACTTGTCCATCCTCTTCTCAAATGGGATGTTTGTTTCCTTCCATTTCACAGTATATAAAAATTCTACTTCTACTTCTTGGTCCTCAGTAAGATCAGCAAGGGTATTTGGGTCAGTGCGGACATTAATTTCAATCACACGGTCCTTGTTGTAAGAGATATCAAAGTGAATATGCTTGAAAAGGTAATATTTGTACTCGCTAGGTTCTTTCCCTTCCTTGTCAACCTTCCCGATGAAACCCCAAATGGGTAAGTCATCATAGTACATCTGGAAGTAGTAATCCTTCTTGACAGCAGATCGAAACCGAGCAACCTCCTCCTTTGTGAGTTTTTTCTTGCACACAACTTCAGAATCTTTATCACGTAAGAAGTCAAGCTGGTAGGGAGCACTGACTAATCGATCTCCATTCAACACTTCACCAAGAGCTTCCTTCTTCTCTTTCAGATGATCTGCAAAAGGTAGGGTAAAACCCAAATTTTCCATGACAAAATCTCACAAATATATCAAAGAAAAACTCCAGATAAATAATTGCAAACCTGGCAAGCAAAAGGGAAGATCAAAATATCGATAGGTTTCACTGCAGCCAAAAAAAACAAAACAAGTTAAACCAATAATGCTTCACCATTAAACTTCAAATGAATCTCCAAAAGAAAAGTCACTTTATCGTGCAAAGCTAAAGAATGCAAAAGCATCACACAAGGTCACTGATTTGCAAAATGAAACAGTAACGATAGACACAAACCCAGTAACATCAGCTGGATTTTCAATAGGTAATCTTGAAATTATCAAGCCTCATAATATAAATAAATTTCTTTAATTGATCATATAAGAAGTCAGTTCAACATATAACATGCACAGAACAATTTTATTCTACAAAAACATATTAATCAATAAGCTTGAGATTTTAAAACAAACAACAAAATTCTACAAAACCAGAACCGTCATATATTGGTACTGACTAGTGAAATGAACCAGTAACGTTAATAGGATTCTCAATACTTTAATCATGAAATTAGATAATTTCCTCTCCCAAAATAAATAAATAAATAAATTTATCTTAACATGCATTATTACAAAACAAAATTCCCAATTTTTCACGAGTTCACTATCTGATCACAAAAACGAAAACGAGATCTGCCTCTAAGCTCCAAAAACCACACAAATCAAACCCACATTGTCTCGATTCTTCATTTCACCGACAAAATGAAACACCAATACATCAAATTTCATCAGATCCAGCAACAACAAGACCAAATCAAGTAAAATAAAAACGAATTTCAAATCAGATTTCAGTAACATTACAACTTACCTGGGATTGTGAAAAGGCCCGACCTTGTTAGCATAAAGAGGGACTTGTTCTCCTTCTTTGTACCGGTGATCCGATGCGTCCGACCTCACCGGATCAAATCCACAAACCACCAAAGTGGCGATGACCAGCACCGCCAAAATCGTCCTCTCCATTTTTGTTTTGGTTTCTCTCGAAATAGGGATCGGGATCGAGCTTGAGCTTAGGGATAAGGAAAGAGGAAACCGAGAATTGAATTCGCTTTTTATGGGCGATGAAACGACAGCGTTTTTAGAAACTCTGATTTTGATGCGCTGCCCATAGACAATTTTGATTTTACACCTAATTTATTTTATTTATTTTTATTTTTTTGGCCTTTTACGTTTTCGGTCGGGTCAGGTTTGATGACGTGGTGACTTTTGATTGGTTGGAGTTGTGAGAATTTGGAGATTTAGTGGGTTCGCAGTCAACGCTCGAGCAAGATCTAAAATTTCCAGTCCAGACTCCAGATCTCAAGTCCTAAAAGGGTTTGCTTAAAGATTTTTTTGACACGTGAGGTATGCTCCATGTGGTAATGGTGGAACCGACCTAAACTGGGAAAAAGTTTTTTATACAAACGGATGCACGTTTAATCGATCAACGAGGATATGTTATGTAATTTCTTTAATAATAGTCTTAATTTCAGGAAATCTCAAGGGTGAAAATGTAATTTCCTTAATAATAGTCTATAGTAATAATAGTTTATGGGGTTTTAGTCCGGGAGTACAATGTTATTTTCAGGAAATATCAGGGTCGAAAATTAATTTTTCTATTAATCATCTTAAATAGATAAACAATAATATTACAGTGATAAATCCTTCTCCTTAACTTTCTTTTACGATATATCAGTTTGTAATTAGTCCGTTCGTAATAGATTTCGTCTAATTAAATATAAATTGATCAATTACGAACTACCACGTCAGTTTTTGTGAAAGAAAAGAACATTGTTAGATCTATTTTTATTTAAACGGATTATGCCTTTGAGGGGTTCTAATTTCTAATCAGAAATCAATCAGGGAGTAGAATGTTACTTTTACGAAATATCAGGTGCGAAATTTCGCCTAATCATATTCTTAATGGATAAAGTATTAATGGAGTTCATATTTTCCTGGTCCAAAAAGACAAAACGCAAGACGAAGGCGGTGCCGTGAAGCTAAAAGGAAGGGAAAGTGAAATTCGGTTGCAGAAGGAAAGAATGTCAGATCCGTACGGGAGAGTGAAGGGAGGGAGGCTGAGCTTCAAAGACGGAAGTCTCGCCACTCGCAAATCCATCGAGAAGAAGAAAAAGAAGAAGAAGCACAAGAAAGATGATGAATCTCAGCCGTCCACCGCCGTCGATGGGTCTGATAACACAAACAACGAGGCAGGACAAACCTACACTATCGACGCTGCTAAAAACATGAAGTACGACGAGCTCTTCCCCGTCGAGACCAAAAAGTTCGGTTACGATCCTAAAGCCAACGTTAAAACCGTCGAAGACGCTCTCGATGATCGCGTCAAGAAGAAGGCTGATCGTTACTGTAAATGAAACGAAACGAAACTCGCTCTCTGTATGTTCTAAAACAACACTGTTTTTGTCTTTTAAGCGTTTTATTCTTAAAAAGTATTTTTAACCTAGAAGTTCTAATCTATGAATTGTAGTTTATGCTTTCTTGCGAGCTCGAAAGAAGTGAAGAGAAACTAATTTTTGAGAATCTTGTTGTTTCTCTGTTTTTTAGCTTTTCAGTGCTTCAAATTTTAGGGCTTTGTATAGAACTGCAATGTTTGAGTTTCTATCTGTTGTGAGCTTCTCAATTTGCATATTACCGCACTGTGTCAGTTCTTGTTTAAAGAATTTCTGAAATTTGAAGAATTAGGTGATGTTCTGAAGGGTTAGTGTATTGGAAATTGGGGTTTAGGCATCGTTGAATCAGTTCTGATTTCAATTTTCTAGCCTCTTCCTGCATTAGAATTTCGTTATGGTCTTGTTCCCAACGGGCAGATAATTCTGTGACTTTAATTTACTTTCATAGGTTGCTGACTAGCATTAAAGTTTTGACCTCTTCAAAATACTTTACCAACTTAGCTGACATACTTGATATCTCAATCACAGCCAGTACATCTCTAGCCATACTGCTAGGGGGACTTTAAAGAGATGCTTTATGGATTGTAGAAAAAATGAAGATAAGTAATTGGGGGTAGGTTTTAACTCTTTACTACAAGTTGGTGCTGGTGGGTGTCAGGTGTCCCCATGAAGTTTGTTGCAGTATTAGTCATGGTTGGGAAGATTATCCTAAGTCATAGACTTCCAATGTTTGAAATAGGACTGGCTTGTAATTTTAGAAATTTCTGAATCAGTATACAAGGGAGATTTAGTTAACATTGTTGGGTACATCTAATGGTGTGCAGTTTCAGAAATTATTTTCTGAAGCAGCATATAAGGTAACTCATTTTGAAACTTTGTCAGTGCATTACTAGCTTGTCTTAAAGTTTGGTTACTTATAGTAACTTTTTGAATTTATTGAGTTGTGATATTGTGCTTGACTTCATGGGTTGTACGACTATTGGAGTTATGGGAAAATGAAGAAATGTCTAGAGCGTATTATTTGCTTAATGTGGACTATATTCCAAGGAACTCAGAAAGCATGTGTTGGTAAATATCATGATATTGCCATATTATCCAATATCATTCAACTCAGAGGCTTTCATGTGGATGAAAGAGATTTGCCTTACATGGTTTAGACTAGTGTTAAATTGGCTCTAAGTTTTGGTCTTTAAGAGTAATAAGTGGTGTCCATCTCTGTGGAGGGGGTTCTCATTTTTTCTGAAGCTAGTCTTTATATACCTATTTGTGCTGATTAGAATCATGGATGACTGAATTTCATTTTTTCTTCTGATGTAGGAGCATCCATCCCTAGGAGGAAACAATCTGTTGGAATTATGGAAGTACTTGATTCTATTACTGTCATTTTCTTTTACCCTTAATTACTTTGTCTTCGATATTGGTATTTTACCAATTTGTCAAATCTTGAACATGTTTTTCGTTAGGCTGCTATTGGATATCTTTGTGATGGCTGATGTCGTACTTTAATGGTTGTTATGTTGTATCTTGGCCATGGAAATCAATTTTAGAAGTATACACATTAAATAGGATTATGTTGGGCTTGATAGGTTGCTTATATTTGGATTATACTTAATAAAAAATCCTTGAAATTATTAGAAATTTTTGTGGCGGCTTTTATAATGAATATCTCTATGACGTTATTTGATGTATCAATTGGTATGGACATGTCAAAACAACTTCTACATACAATCCTAAACTATTATGTGTCATCTTTAACAACATTGAAGATGGTTTCTTCTATAGTCAATTGCATTAACATTTATCATGTCAGCTTGTTGTTGGCCTTTGCACCTCTTTTGGATCATCAAATCTATGCAACAAGCAATAACTATTCATCAATGTGCTATAAATAAATGTTTCTGATTGCAAACCTTTTTGGATATAATGCTTACTACCTTGGTAGCAATATTCAGTTCTTCATTAACGGGCAGAAAGATTGCTCAAATATCGCAGCTATTAATTTCCCACAAAATTGACTTCAGTTACAGCTTCTCATTCTGAAAGAGCCTTGACTGTTGGATTCATTGCTGGTCTCATGTTTCAATCTTCTTCCAAACCAGACATGCCAATTTCAACAACAATTTTGCAGCCTGGTTCATGTGAAAGAGTTTCCAAATTGAACTCACTTCAGCCTAAAATGCTTCTTTTCTCCTCAATATATATTTCCTAGTCTCTTCACGGTGGCCACCCTTCCATCAACTAAAACACCCTGCTTAGATGCTTCACACCGGAAATCATATATGCAAAGCTTCAGTGAAATTGAGATCAAATCCTTAGAAATCAACTTTTGGAACAGTAATTAGTAATTAGTTCTAGTGTTGCTTTCTTTTGATTGATGGATATTCTTGATAAGCTTTGGTCAATGTAAAACTTATCAAAACAAATTTACCTTTGGTTGGATCAAGAAAATTTCAATACCTTGAGATCTTTGGCACGACATTATCAAATTATTCTACCATACTGCTTCAGATATTCTCATTAGAGAATTCTTCAAATTTGATGACAATAGGAATCAGGAATCGACTTTGAAAAATGGGAAAAGCTCTAAAATTATATTAAAAAAATTCTACCATATTCAAAGATACTGAAAGTATATTTCCTTATACAAGAAAGAAGAATTCTCCTGATGTACAACAAGACTAAGATGAGATTCCTATGCTACGTTATCAAACAAAGCGAGGAAGTAGGAACATATCCCTCAAATACATGATACGAGCAAATTTTCATCCTTGATAATGAAAAACTGAAATACAACTATGTATGGAAAACGAAAATCATACTTCATAAGTCACCAACAACATGAATTTAATTCGAGTGAAAACAGATTGTGCGAGCGGATACGGGTTGGAACTTCTAAGGCTATGATTGCATTAGGTGCTTCAGAGCCTCTGATGCAGAAGGATATGTCCTAAGATTTACTTCAAGCAAATAAGCAACGAAGTCAATGAAGCCTGGTCCCCCATCAGCAATCAGTAACATAATGACATTTTTGTGGTATCAGGTATTCAAGTCTGTTGGTTTCCATAAAAATAGAAGACTACAACATGCAATCACTACTAAAGAATTTCAGTAAACAGAATATGCCACAGATATATCTAACTTGTCAAGACATGCACTGTAGAAGGACAACAAGTATTTGATGATTGACGAAAATACAGTGGGAAAACAATGATATAATAGTATTTGAGCAAACACCAAGTAGGATGTTAAAGTTCTAGCTTCATGCTTTGAAAGAACTTGGGTAAATGAGCATTTAAACAAACAAAAGATGTCTATTTCCTCAATGGCTATCTTAAAATTTTCCTTCAGGGTTAAACACCTAGCGGCAGATATTTGCAAAAACAATCAAGTGTCATCTTTACCTCATGGCATTAGACTCTCAGAATATCCAGAGCTCATTGCAAAAATAAGAGTTAAAAATAATTAGAGGAACAAGAATTCAGGTGACCAATAACAAATTGAAATAAGCAAAAAAAGGTAAAAATAATATAAAGGGTTATATATGTCAAGATTTATGATCGCAAGGTGGAACATATAAAGATACCAAAACGGCCTGTGGGTACTTATAGAGGTCAAGACTAGAAGACCAGATCATAGGCTGCAAGCCTGCAAACCTCTCTGACTCATTAATTCCACCAAACCATGACCTTCCTCCATCTTCCCCACCTTGCAAAGCCCACTTATCATTGTAGTAAACGTCACCACATCAGGCTGCGGACCACTTTGATTCATCAATTCAAACAACCCATTAGCTTCCTCCATCTTCCCCACCTTGCAAAGCCCACTTATCATTGTAGTAAACGTCACCACATCAGGTTGCAAACCTCTCAGACTCATCAATTCCAACAACCCATTTGCTTCCTCCATCTTCGCCTCCTTGCAAAGCTCACTTATCATTATGGTATGCGTCACCACATCAGGTTGCAAACCACTTTGGCTCATCAATTCCAACAACCCATTAGCTTCCTCCATCTTCCCCTCCTTGCAAAGCCAATTTATCATTGTATTAAAAGTCACAACATTAGGCTGCAAACCTCTTTGAATCATAAATTCCAACAACCCATTGGCTTTCTCTATCTTCCCCTCCTTACAAAACCCATTTACCATTGTAGTAAATGTTACCACATCAGGCTGCAAACCTCTTTGACTCATCAATTCCAACAACCCATTTGCTTCCTCTGTCTTCCCCTCCTTGCAAAGCTTGCTTATCATTGTATTAAAATTCACCACATCAGGCTGCAGACCTCTTTGACTCATCAATTCCAAAAACCCATTAGCTTCCTCCGTCTTCCCATCCTCGCAAAGCCCATTTATCATTGTATTAAACGTCACCACATTAGGATGCAAACCTCTTTGACTCATCAATTCCAACAACCCATTAGCTTCCTCCATCTTCCCCTCCTTGCAAAGCCCATTTATCATTGTATTAAAAGTCACCACATTAGGCTGCAAACCTCTTTGACTCATCAATTCCAACAACCCATTAGCTTCCTCCATCTTCCCCTCCTTGCAAAGCCCATTTATCATTGTATTAAAAGTCACCACATTAGGCTGCAAACCTCTTTGACTCATCAATTCCAACAACCCATTAGCTTCCTCCGTCTTCCTCTCCTTGCAAAGCCCATCATCTTATATAAACGTAACAACATTAGGCTGCAAACCTCTTTGAATCATCAATTCCAAAAACCCATTAGCTCCTCCGTCCTCCCCACCTTGCAAAGCCCATTTATCATTGTAGTAAATGTCACAACATTAGGCTGCAAACTCTTTGATTCATCAATTCCAACAACCCATTAGCTTCCTCCATCCTCCCCTCCGCAAAGCCCATTATCATTGTATAATGTCACCACATTAGGCTACAAACCTCTTATATCATCATTTCCACAACCCATTAGCTTCCTCTATCCTTCCCTCCTTGCAAAGCCCTTTTATCTGTAGTAAACGTAACCACATTAGCGCAAACCTCTTTGACATCAATTCCAAAAACCCATAACTTCCCCCGTCTACCCTCCTTGCAAAGCACGCTTACATTGTAGTAAATGTCACCACATCATGCAAACCTCTTTGAATCATCAATTCCAAAATCCTAAGCTTCCCTTGTCTTCCCCTCCTTGCAAAGCTCTTATGATTGTAGTAAACGCACCACATTAGGCTCAAACCTCTTTGAATCATCAATTCCAACAACCCATTAGCTTCCTCCATCTTTCTCTCCTTGCAAAACCCATTTACATTGAATTAAAAGTCCCACATTAGGCTGCAAACCTTGATCCCCCATCTCAAAAAACAAACTCTCAGCCTCCTCCAAATTTCCCACAAAACACCAACCAAATTAGAGAGGTACAAACAACCACATTTGGCTTACTCCTCTACTCTTCATTTCCAAAAACAATTCTTTCGCCTCATCTACCAACCCATCTTTGCAAAGACCACGATAATAATACCATACAAACAATATTAGGACTGACCCCAAATGCAACCATTTTCTTGAACAACTCCATAGCCTCCAAACTCCTATTCCAAACACAAACCTTTAATCAAAGAACTAAAAGTCACAGCATCTGGGTTAAAACCCCACCTCAAAACTCTCCAAAAACAACAAAACCATCACAAACTCGACCCACATTACAAAAACAATTAATCAAAATATTTAATGTAATTAAATCGGCTAAACCCCATTGAATCCAGTCGTTTGTAAAGCAAAATAACGTCTTCATAAACTTCTTCTTAGCAAGAGTCCACACACCGGTTAATGATGAAATCGGTGGTTTGGGTTGCATATGAATCATTAAACAAAAAATAGAGTGTGTCAGCCAGAGTGATATTACCTTGTTTACAGTCTTTTCGAAGGAAATACGTCAAGCCTCGCAGCATCTTAACGTTAATACTGAATCTGTATATCAAGCCTAGCTACATCTTCAACGTTATATACTGAATCTTGTATATCAAGCCTTGCTACATCTTCAGCATTATATACTGAATCTTGTGGTATGTTAGTCACTTTACATGAATTTGTGAATAAAGATGAGATTTTGGTTTCAGAATGTTATGCCTAAAAATATAAGGGCGGACGTTAGACCCTTTAGCCTGCAATAGTTAGATCATTGGAATAACCACCGTCTGCGTCTGTCAGGATAGTGGGCGTGCGTCAGACTAGTCGGAGGCTGTGTGTCTCCCACGTGTACAATCCCTGCTCTAAATGTGCAAATCACTCTGGAAGGTGGGCAATGTGACATAAAGAAGGATTTGTACGGATAATCCCACCAACTTGCAGATTTAGTGATCATTGCCTCAAGGCATCTGACTATAAATGGGGAATTCATCTC